AAACAACTTGGTATCACTTTGATTGGTGTGATAGAATTCAAACTAATTTTCCACAAAGTGGGCAAAACCAACATGGCCAGCTGTTGGCTGGAGGCTGATGTGGAAGATTTTGCACTTTGAGTACGTTCATGGACCTTGGCCAGGCCCTTACTTGGGGATGCAGCTGGAGGCCAAGGGAGCTGGCTGTTCTCCTTGAGGGTTAGTTGTGAAGGGGAAGGACTTGGAGGCTGTAAAAATGCCATAAGATAATAAAGAGTTAGGATTATGGCAGCCCTTCCAGATTTATTGCCTGGAAAAGGGCAGGTTTGTCAACATTTGTGAAATAGAGCTATATGCATCATGTTTCATGCATTCTGTTTGGGGGTACCAGGCCACAGTCACCTTAACATTAAGACTGGCATTAAGTATTTCTTAGGGGATGAAATAGGCAGGGTTTGCCCTACAACATTTCAGTCTCTACTGGATACTGTAATAACTCTCACAAACCGTTCGAGAGAAGCCTGTTGGCTGGCTGCTTGCCCAGATACTATTTCTTCTAGAAATGCTTGGGAAGCCAGCGTCCTTCTCAGACTCTTGCCCAATACTAATTGTAGCTGTAGTACTGAGCTGACCTGGGTGGGTTCAGGGTGATACATTCACACCAGTCATGAATCTTCAGGAATTGGCTGGTGCTTTGGCTCTTGTTAAGTGCTTATTGTCAAGTGTTAAGTGGCAATTGTCCCAAGACTTTATGTATTAGCTGCATTATTAGTATTTTCTTTACTGTTTTAAAATCAGATAATGGAATATTTGTATTTTCTGCAGCTTTTATTTTACAGGGGGGTATTCGTATGATCTAATTCCAGGCACGTATGTAGATTGTAAATGTTGGAGCCCAGGTTCCAGAGTCAGTCTGTGGTGTTTCCTGAGAGCCATTTGGACTCCCTAGGTGAAACGCTCGCCTCTCTCCTTCCTGGGATAATTCCCCCTGTCCTTCCTGCCGTGTTTGCTGCGCTCCTGAAGACGTTTAAACACATGGTGAAATCTGTCCTTGTTTAGTATAATCCTGCTTAACTTTGAGCATGTGCTTGAGGTCTTTGGAGTCAGTGAGCTTTAAGGTTATGTTCATAAGCACCTTCCAGGTAGAGATGCCTTCCTGAAACTGGCTGCAGAGCTGAAGTTGAGCCTAGCTTAGTTTATCGAGATCCTCTGATTTACCTGGGTATGAGGGTGAAGGTTCTGCTCACAATGAATGCAACAGGAGAAGACAAATATGCTTATATAACTGTTATTTTTCCATTCAGACGTCCATCTCCTGCTTTCATATGGATTTACAATTCAGTTTTGTTTCTCTTTTATCTGTTTTTTGAATTTCATTGGTTTGTGATGGAGAAAAAAAGCAGAACTCAAGGTAGCACAATATTGTCTTCAAAGTCTGCTCAAGTCCAGTGCTTGATGGTTAAAACAGATGCCTGCTACAACTAATTCCAGTAAATTTTTTTGGTATTCTGAGTTCTTAGCCTTTGTATTATGACTACAATGCATTCATTTTCAGTGGATTAAAATTTGGCATATAGAATCTCTTCACTTTGGAGTGTTTTGCTTTAAATTAAAACAAAATCAAACCAAAGGTGCCACTTACTTTTTGTGCAATGGCAAAAAACACTGGGCTTTTTGCTTTGTAGACAAGTGGAACTATAGCAGAGTGGCAGGAGAAATGCAAGTAATTCCTGTGACACACAGTACAACAAAACTTAAAAGCAATTCTCTTTACGAAACAGCAGCCCTTGCTCTGCAGGTGAGTAGAGTGGGATCTCCATTTACACACATGGTTTTTCAAATTCAGTTGGGTTCTCGACTTGTTTAAGCTGAACATGTGTGTAAATTTCATCAGAATCAGAGTCTGAGTGCACATCACCATTCACACACGTTTTATAGAAGACTTGCATCACCTGACACAAAGCGATGGAGCTGTTTTGATGCCTCACACTCAAGCACCTCCATGTATTTTCACTGGACAGGGACTTTACTTCCTAATCCATTCTCTGGGTTTCTACTGTTCATGTCCTTGGCCAACACTAGCCTAGTTAGACAGCCTCTTCTGCTTTGTAATTGCAGAGACTTTTCCTTTTGAGTTATAGCCTGAAATACAGAGAATGTAAACACTATGATTCAGCCTCTAACTGGAGTAAATTATCCTCATTTTGCTCTCCTTAAAAGAGAATTTCTCATCAGTAAGTACTGCTTTTTTTTTTATTTTTTTCCTTTGCCTCTTCTGTGCGTGGATTATCTCACCTACGTTTTAGCTGAGGGCAAAGTAACTTCTGACATCATACAGGTGGGCACCATCTGGACAGAAAATCCTCAGGCTATCAAAGCTGGTATCTTTGTGGTATGTTGTAGGCCTATGGATAACAGACAGGTCTTTCCTCTTGTTTTACCTGACCTTGTCTCATGCTGTCCTCCTTGTGGTGGTATCTCAATGGTGCTGTTCTTTTCGGTGACACAAGAACTAGTTTTCCAACCAGAATATTAAACCACGTACATCCAAGAAAATGTGCCTAATGGCTCCTTCTGCTTTCCATCTTGAAAGACCCAAATATAGTAACTAATTTTGATAAGGTCATAATTACTTTCTGGGGTAAGCAGTTTCCAGAAGTCTGTCCCTCTTCAGTTTCCAAAGACGTGTCCTTTGAAGGATGCTGTTAGCTTAGTTAGCTACTAGCTCAGTGCTTCCACGGTGTGGAAAGATGTTCCAGAATCTAATAGTACACATTCCTGCAAATGGGGAGGCATTCCCACGTTTTGAGTTAATTATAGGTATACCTTTTCCTGCAGAAAGCTGCAAAATAGTTGTTTGGATCAGCCAGAGTTCCTGCTGTTGTGGGGAGCAGGACCTCTCCTCCACACACAGTGCTAGTATTTTATTTGACCCATTTCTGAACCCTTTTTATTACCGGTGACGGTTGCTCTGTAAGCAGGTCATGCCATTACTTAATTGCACATTCTGCTAGGACACTTCTCGTACTGGGCCTGATTAAAACAGAGAATCAGGGAACAGGTCTTCAGTCTCTTGGAGGGGGTTGCATGAAATTGCATTCTGGTTTTATTTCCTGCTCTGATGTGCACACCCTCTTTTTCAGATCACCTTCTCCTTTTATTGCTTCCATTCTTCCAAAGTTTCAGCAAGTTCTTTAACACATTACATCTGCTTTCCTTAGCCCCTTTATCTGTGTGTGTTTTAAATTCATCTTTGTTTGCAGAGTCTTGACACAGCAGGTTCCCGGTTTTAATAGTCTGCGAAATGAAAGGCCTACATCTCACCCGCTATTTTCAGCACCATTCCATTAAACTGTAACATTGAAAAGAAGAGTATCCTCTTCAAGTGCTGAAGAGCATGTTGCTTCCTCATATCTAAATCACGGTCTCCACTATAGATCTTCTGAGTTATTCCCAGGTCTCGAAATGTCTGGTACTTGCCTCAAACCCGGAGTTTCTGTATCACAAATGTGAATCTCAGCATTGATTTTTTTTTTATTTAAAAAAATCTTTAAGAAACTTTCTGTTTAAGTGTTTCAAGTAAGAGTTTTCCTCAAGGAAAAGACACAGAGACAGAAATTGCATCTCTTGAAGACTCGAAACCCAGCAGGCCAGTGAAAATCAGCCCCATACATCGTTTTGAAGGTGCCATTTCCCAGTGCGGATGGGTCTCTTGACACATCATTGATGCCTAGAGGGTGATGCTGGCCCCCTGGCTGTGTTGTTCCATGGCGTGCTGCTGGTCCTGCACCAGGCTGCTTCTTACTCCACGGTAAGGCTGGGGATGGTTGGCAGAACCAGTGAATTGGAGCCTCCCAGTTCAGCTGCCTGACCTGGTTCCTTGTGGGAAGAGACAGACATTTGTACAGGCACAGGGATGAAAGCAGGAACATCCTCAGCTGAGCGCGAGAAGAAAAGTGAGATGGCTCCTTAGGTAGCAGGTGGACTCACGCTGCATTGTTAAACCACAGCTTTGTTCTCAGGATTTGAAAACAAGTCTGTTCAGGGGAGCGTGGCTTGTGTCTTGAGCATCACAAGTTGGAACTGCAGTTTTGGAGGAACTTATTGTTCTGCTTTGTGGCTTTCCCCTTTGTAGCTGTGCTTGGTTTTTCTCTACCTTACAATAAAATTCCACCTCTGTTGGAGCTTTATCAGCGCTCCCTTCACAGCTATATTCTTTCTTACTCCCTTTATGTTGGTTTATGTCAAATTTAATGTCTTTCCCTCTTTATTCCTGCATTTGTGACCTTTATCTTCAAAATAAATAAATATGATTAATTCTTCCCTTGCGTATCATTCCATGGAGAATTCAAGGGTTGAAATTGCCCAGGTTCAGATACTTTCTGAATCTTATACCTGCAAAGTACAACATTATCATTATTCTTCTCATAGGGTGAGGTATCAATAAAGCCACGTTAAAGGGAATGACAGGAGGAAGGAAGCTAACTTCTCCTGTAGTTTCACCTCTGTTTGAATTTCATTGCATGGACAGACCACTTTTTTTCCAGCATTTAACCTCTAGCCCAGTGAACCTCAGGGGACAGATTGCACTCCATTTTCTGCTGAAATTAAGCATGAAATTTACTAATCCTGTAATGAGAGAGAGTCAATGAATATCATTGCTATCCTTGTGGATAAGGCACCTTCACACTGCACGCCTAGGCTCCAGGTTCTGTGCTGTTCTTGAACAGTTGGAGGAGTTTCTTTTTCAAGTTGTAGGGGTGAACAGGTGCCTTCTGTCACCAGGCACTGAGTACTGTGCTCAGTATTGGATGGAGAAAGTCAAAATAATTTGTCAAGTCTAACAGGAAAGAAAAGGCCTATTTTCTTGGGCGTCAAAATATTTCAGGAGCTAAACACAGTAATAACCCATCTAAATTTTAATATGAACAAAGTAAAATGATAGAATTTAGAAGAGGGGGAGAGCACAGGCTTCAGTCTAAAGACTTGCTAACCTTGCTAATATTTCCCCCATGTGCAAAATCCAGGACTAAAAGCCAGTTCCTGTGGCTCCTGAGCCTGCTGCAAGGGCTGGTGTCTGTGGCTCTTGCATCAGCAGGGAGGGAGACCTCCCAGGACAGCGCCTGTCACTCCCAAGTAGAAAACGAGCCGGCAGAAAATGCAGAGATTAACTAAGGATAGGTGGCAGCACAGGCTGTGGTTGCCGTTTTAATAGTGGTTTTATTTGTTTGAAATCATGACTTCTGGGTAAATCACGTTCATCCAATTCGTATGCAGAAGAATACACTTCTTGATTCCTCAGAACGTTAGCATTGCTGGGCTTTTTTCTTTCCCCAAGCAGAGGAGCTGTGGAAGGAATGTGAAAGATGTTGTTTGGAAAGCATTCTGCAAACCAGAATGTATTTAAAAAACAGTCTTTGAGAAATAAATCACTACCTGATGATGAAGACAGCTAAGCTGGGCCAAGAGTCTTTCGTGTGCCAACACTCTCTCACGTGACAGAAGTTATATTGGAAGCTGGCAGTCTGTGGAACTTGCAAGGCTGAAAATGTCTAAAAATTTTCATATACTTAAAGTAAGTAATAGGTAGATTAAAAACATGGCTTTGAAACTTTTCAAAATATCTCTCTGTAGGGCACTGTGATCCTAACTAAAGTCACAGACTTTTACCTATGGCATACTCAAAACAAAAAACCCAAAGCCTAGGAGCCCAAATTTTACACCACCTCAGTTCAATACAAATCAAATGCTTAGGGATGAAGAAATTGTAGGGTTGAATTTGGCTTGATTTCAGATTTATAACAAAGCTTGAAATCAGAGTTTCCCAATAGTTTTAGGCTTCATTGTGAATATGGCGGATCCAGCATTCATTCCTAAGCCAAAGTATTGAATCACCAAATAAGTGCTGGAGGTGTCTGTCAATATTAAATATTTGCAAAGTTATGGCACATTAAGGCTGACATAGCAGTAAGTGTAAAAATGTGATTAATCAAAGGATGAATTGCCGCTCTGAAAGAGAAATATGAAACTCAGGCTGGGTAAGTAATGGACAAGCAAAGAAAGAAAAGAGAATTCATTGGCACTCCTCAGTCGGGTAGTGAATTTACTGTGAAAATAAAGTTTTTAGGCATTTCACTGCAGTCAAATTAAGCCCAACAATAATCATATGCATTTATACAGTAAAAATGCTGGACCTATGAAAATACAGGATAATCTTGCATTTCTCCAAGCAGAGAATCGCAAAGTAAAAATAGATCCTTGTCAATTCCTGTGTCATGGTCCAGCATCATTTTGCATAAACGCCTGGGAAGTCCCAGTGCAAGTAGCTGATCTTTGGGTTTGCTCCAAAGCTGCTGAAGTCAGTTTAGTTTCACTGGCTTCATTTGGCTTTTTAGGGGCAGGTTGATTAGCAAAGAATTTGGGACAAAAAGGAGGCCATCAAGTATTCCAGCTTATAACCTTGGTTGTCACCTTGTTCTCTGTCCCCTGGTACAGTGGTGGTGAGGGAGTTGAGTGCGAGAGGCTCAAGTGCAGCTCTTCCATTGCTGTTTATATCCCGTATGCTGGATGAACAGGACAGAACTGCGTGCTCCTACAACTGAAATAGCTCTGCTAAAGCTTCTTCCCCTTCTGCCTCACACCACATCCCCACCACAGAAGAGGCGATGCATTAAGCGAGGGGGGAGGGAGCAGGAGAAACCCTCCTCGTGTCCATGCCAGGAGGATGAGGCAATTCCAGCTGCCTTGAATCTGCAGGCTCGCTCTGACAGCTCTTCTATGAAGATGGGGCCAGAAAGGAACGAGGTTTTCCTCCTGTCTGAGTCTGCCCACCCAGCTCCCCCAACCAAAAAATGCCCAAATTGTATGAGAAAAACACTAACTGCACATCTCTTCAACAGGCTTTTCTGATAATTCAGCTGGATCCCAAATACGTGTCCAACCAAACCAGAGTTTACTTTTCTCTGATACAAGCTGCTTTCAACTCCCCAGTGCCCTCCGTGAGATTCTGGTGGTCAGGAGTCCAACAATCTGTCACTAGGTGGGAAAAGCATAAGTTGGGGCTGCTCAATTATAACCAGCCAAACCTCTGCTAATCTGCAGCATCGTGTCTTCGTGGGCTTCTGGGAGCTCTGTCAGTTTGCATTAGCTGAGGACCTGGCCTCATGTAATTAGATGTTTTCACACTCTTCTGGTGACGTGCCCTCCTCCGACAGTCTGAATTGCAGCCAGTCATGGTTTGTAAAGAGATCCACTCGTGCTTGGGAGGCAGCAGGACGCACAAAACCCGCAAATGCATGCGTGCTATTAACATGAGATTTGGTAAAGGAACGTATTTGGGATTTGTTTGCGTATTTGGAAATAGCAAAATGCACTGAAAGAAGAGAGCAGTGATCCGGGCATGTTGGAGGACTCGCAGAGGCGTTGTTCACCAAGGGGCAGGGGGTTCAAGGCTCAGCTGCAGGAGCTGTGGGTGCTCACACACAGGTTTGGGCTCACTGAAGGCCCCTTGGCCTCCTGTCTCTGAATTACCATTCTGACCTAATTTTGGTGACATTTTCATGTTATCATGCAAGCCCATAGAAATCAGGACACCACCGGCAATCCTGTTGAATAAACATGGTGTTAATAATGTGAAATCTGGCCACGATGGATACACTTAGGTCTTTGAAGGGTTTAGCTGCTCCTGGCAATTTTGTCTTCCTTTGGAATGACAGAGGGGTGTTTGCCTTAACTTACGGGTTTAAGAAGTGTCGTGTCTAGGTAACTTTTAAAGTGCATTTCCAGAACAGATTCTGTGTCATCTTTAACCCAAGGATACAATTTTGGAATAATGAATCACTGCTTGCAAGTACTATGGTATGTTCTAGCTGTCCCACTGTGGGAAACTGGTTGTTTTTTCTCTTTTTGTTTTATATTTGTTTATATTAAGATCACTTGTCACTGACGTTAGAGTCCTATCAGGTCACATTTAATCCTCTTTATACCTCTTCCGCGCCACTAAGTCCATTGCTTTGACTTAATACAATGTCGACATTTGCAAGGAGTCTACCAAATCCCAAAGTTTAAATTTGTTGTCGTTGTTGTTAGGACATCACATCCTTAATTAAAAAAGGCAGAGCCCCAAACAAAACCTCATATATTGAGGCTGCTTTTGACCTCTAGGCTATCAGTGACAAATCATGAGATGCTTTAAAGTATCCTTGGAAAGAATGGGGAACGTCAACTGATCCCTGTCTCTTTTGAGGCTGTGCTCATCTTTCGTGGGCCTGCTTCATGGAGGAGTTGTTAGCACTCAGAGAGGGCAACTGATTGTGGATTAGAAGGTGCTGGAGCATTTAGTGGCCTTGTACTTTGACTACTTGCAATTAGCAGAAGGTGACCTTACCGCTTCGCCAGTGGTGCTGCAGTGCTGTGAGGGAGCAGCACACGGGGAGGGAATCACACTTTGAGCATCCTGTCGTAAAGCTGCCCGTTTGGCTCAGTGCTACCTCGCCAGCCTTTTGTCCACCCTTTTCAAAAACAAACAAACAAACAAACAAATAAATGGAGACTTCTAAACTTCAGGGTCTTTTGGCCAGCCACCCAGTGAATATCTCCATGGGTGTTCTGTCATGCTGATCAGAAGGAAGTCCTTCCTCCCTGGCGTTGCCCACAGGAGCAGTGCAGGCTGCCCCAGGTTTGATGCAGAAAGTCCTGCTGTGGCTCAGCAGCTGGTTTCCATAAGCTTCGTTAGCATCCCTGCACGTTGGCTTTGTTCATGTTTCCCTGCCTTTCCAAGTGGGGCCAGAGCAGAGAGACAGAAGTGGGCAGCCTTTGGGCCAAACCCTTCAAGCACTGCCTGTGGCTCAGATCACGGTCCCTGACAAAGAGATTTCCTTTTTTTGCTCCCGTTCCTGCTGCATTTGGCCAGAGATTCAAGGGACAGCTACAGAGAGCAATATGGTTCGTTCTGGGAATAGACTTCCTCTGTCAAGGGTACTGCTTGGGTACTCCAATGTACTATTCACGATTTTTGATGCTGCTTGAATCCTGAAAGCCCTGGGCAGCGCATCACACTGACTGGTCCTCCCCGAAGGTGGCCCGAGTGACAGCTGAGCCTGTGGGTCCCCATCCTCTGCCTTCACAGAGCCAGGGACTTCTTCAGCATCGTTCCTTCGTGGAGGAATGCAGAGCAACTGGCCATCTCTGTAACCGCTGCCAAGAGGTGGTTAGCGTGCTCCACCACAGCCCAAGGGTTTGAATTCCAGAGCTACACAGATTGCCTGAAAGGCTTGCTCCCCACAGGCTGCTACCGAGCTGGTGTGTCACACTGCTCGTCCTTTCGTGAGCTGGAAATATTCCCTTCGGTGCAGAGAAATGCCCCGTGGTTCCTGCGGGGAAGCGTGGTGTTGGGAGCAGCGAGAAGGCGGTGTCCTTGTGTGTGCTCCGGTGGGAGGGAGCACTGGGATGGAAGAAAGGCCAAAGGAAAGAGCAGCTGGAGATGTTTGATCCCTGTTAGCAGGGAAGATGCTGAGCCCTGGCACTGGAGTGCTGAGGTGATAATAGCTCATGAGTAGCCCATGCCGCAGGCGTGGGCAGAGAACACTGATTTCTGGGCTATTCACAACAAAATCCTTGGTCAGTGAATATTCTCCTTCACCAAGTACATCCAGAGGGCAGAACAAAGCAAGAAGCGATGTCCCCATTTATCCCCAGTGCTATCCTGCAGGGCAGGGCTGCAATAATTAATGTTTGAGAGCGAACCCAGCTTGGTGCATCTCACAGCCAAGTCCCCGTGATGGCTCGGGGCTGCCCAGAAGTGTGGGGTAGAGGGGAGCAGAGAGCTGGAGCTCATCACCAATGTGTCCAGCAGAGCTGCCGTGTCCGATTCCACCACAGGAAGGGGTCACGGCTCCAGCCACATGGGACTGAAGCACCTCTCATCCTGATCTCGGATTTTCTTCTTTCTCAATTAACTTTCAGCCAGAGTTGGTTTCAGGAAAGTTGTCCCCTAGTCTGCTGAGCTGCCAGCCTGAGCTGATTCGGAATGAAAACCCTGCCCAAACCAGCAACACAGATCAGGCTCTTTTCCTTGGGCTTTGGGGAATTTAAAAAAGCATTCTGTGACTCTGCAGCTGAGTCAGCACTGGTTGGATATGAATGTGATTTCTGTGGTCAAACTTGGCAAAAAGCTCTAATGTTTAATGTGCCAGTCAGCTAAAACATGCTGCTGTGTGAGAGATGACGCAGTGGCATTGTGTGGCTTGGTTGGGATTGCCAGCATGGATACTCCAAAAGTATCAGAAGAAGCTTTAATATCCCTGTTTACATAACATCATGTTGCTCGTTTCATGCTTCATTAATTTCTGCAGCAAGCAGGCTACGTTCTGAGAGCAGGAAACCTCCACTCCACCCTGAATTATAAAAATAGCCGGTGATCTCTCTTGCTAATTTGATTACAGTGGCTACAGAAAACAAGCTGTGTTGTATGCAATGCTGCCTGCTCCACTGAACAGAGCCTTCTTCAGGTGGGCATCATCTGTCTTAATCCCACTCGGCCAGGTTTGGATGTTGTCTCGCTAAATAGCCTCAGTGGGTGAATCAGGTTGGTGAAGTTGTCTCCAGGTGAGCCCAGCACACAGCTGCGCTGGCACAACTACCAGCTGTGTTGAACTTGGGTGCTGGAGGAATTACAAGTGGCTGGGGGCAGGACCTTTTAAATACAGTCCTATTGCCACATCCCTACTTTTGGAGGGTGGAACCCTCCTGGGCTTGCCCCAGGAGTGGTTTCAGGAGGACGTAACCTTCGAGGCAGGTTTGCTGCCCTAATCGTGGGAAGGTTTTTCAGAGAAGTGGTACCTATGTTTAGATTCGTTTTGACACTTTAATCAGACTGGGGGAAAAAAAGGCCTGTCGAGCTGTTTTTATGAGTTGTTCAATAATGAAATTTTCTTTGAAGCAAGTAAAAACCCTTGGAAGGAAGGTTTTAGGATTGTACTTTTAAAGCGTAAGCTCAGTGTATCTATACTTTTTCTTAAGGGTGTTTTATTTGCTTCTGGTACTAATTCAGGAATTAGTCCAAAGGCCGTTTACATAAATGAAAAGAGTTTTATTGACTTTGATGGGATTTGGATCATGCTGCACTAATTAAACAGTAAAGTATCCATTAGCAGCGAAGAGAACAGAAGAGAGAAGAGCCAAATACTGTTGTGATGAACCCTGCGAAGCTGAATGAACTGCAGCCAAGGTCTCCATAACTTCACAGATGAGCTTTTCCATATTTCCCTGCCTCAGTCTTTTTGAAACAGATACAACTGTAGATTTTTAAAGGGAACCAAGTGTATGAAGATCCTTACCTTTGTTCTGTATATTAATGAGTTTTGGTAGACACATTTGTTCAACAAAGGTAATAATGAGGAAAAAAATGGGAAGTGAGGTGTGACAAAAGAGAAAGGTCTGCTTTAAGCAATATTGAAGATACATTAGTAATGTACTCTTGCTTTGCTTCCATGTTTTTGTCAGGTTTTTAAGGAATGCATGGAGTTCCTAGATTCCAAAGAAAAGCAAAAGTTTTTTTCAGAGCTGATGCTGAAAGTAGAAGGTAAGGGGAAAAGTTCATATACTGCATACCTGGAAGGTCTGTGCAAAAAAAGTGGTCTAGATTAAAAAGAAAAAAAAAAGGCTGTATTGGAACTAGCCACAGAATCAATCTTGTACAGACAGATTGAAAATATAGTAATAAACACCGAATTTATGGGTGCTGCTGGATGGATGCAAACATGATCTGGCATTAAAAAATTGTGTTTCTTGGTCCTTTTGCTGTAATCCATTTTGCATGGGTGGCAGCAGTAGCTCTTGAATTCCATAGCATACAGCACTGCTGAGATGCTGCAGTTGCCCCTCTAGCAGAAAACATTTACAGGGTGTCGTTACGACAGTAGGATGGTCGGGGAAAAAAATAAGCCAGTTGGATGTGATGTAATGCGATTGTAAGCACATAAGCTGAAGTTTTGAGGAAATTGGGAGCCCATCGGTGTTTTAATGTCAGTTAGCTATACCTGACTCCATAGGCATCTGTGAAAACACAGCCCTGCATTAGGATTTATCTATAACCATGGTGCTGGCCTGCTGGGGCGTTTACAGGGAGCAGCAGAGCACTCATGCTGCTTCACAAGGTTGTTTGCTTGTCTTCAGGCTTGCCAGTGTGACCTGAACATCCTTAGCCCTCTCGTAGTCAGCAAAAAAAGAGATTTCCCCTTGTGCTGCTCAGCGGTAGTTACAGTCAGTATTGATGAAGAAATATGGGCTGCAATTTGTTTTAGGTTTTATTAAAGTTATCAAGCAAAAACATTGATCGCGACACCATGATACAGAGCACAGCTCTCTGTGTTTGTAAGTGCAACTTGGCCTCCTTTGCAAAAATCAGGAAGGTCTCATCACAGCTGCGGACTGGAAATATTTCAGTTGAACTGAAGGTTTGTACATCTATCATGCTTGTGATAGCCAAAAATCCCAAACAAGTAAATGCCCCAGTAATGTAAAGCTTCCTAGAACACTCAAAATAGAAAAGAATTGGGCTCAGGCTGAACAATTCAAACTGTCTTCTGTGCTTCCAAAAATAAAGTGCTTGAAGTCGAGCCCCACCTCCCTCTCTTTAAAAAAAATAAAAAATCTTGTATTTCAAATCCAGCGGTTACTTAATAGAAAGTTTCCAGAAAAATCATTCCAGCTATACATTTATGGGAGAAAGATTAATTGGAATTCTTTTCTTTTGAGGAAATGTGGGTGTGTGGGAATTGCGTCCTAAAATCAGGCCAGCGGTGAGTTAGAGAAGGGGCTGGGCAGAGTGAGTGTAACAGGGAAGACCTTGCATCTTTATGGATACAAATTTGCACGTTTCTGGCCAATTTTATTCCTGTATTAGTTCTGTTGGCCAGTGTAGGTACCTGGATAAGGAGCGTTGCAGGAGTAACTTTTCAAAGAACACAACTGTTCATTATTTTTTTATTTATAAATTTTTTTAATCAGACGGAGACACCAGCATACGGTGATACAGAGGTGGATTTGCTGCTGATGGACTGCAAAATAAAGCCTTTCCTCAGAGCAAAAAGTCATTTTCTATGGATGGGGAAGCCATGTGAAATAAATCCTAAATGCTTTCATTACTTTTGGCTTCATTGTTTCTAAATTAAAGTGTTTGTCTGAGAACAAATGACAAACTAATTTTTTTCCCCACCCAAAACCTGATTTGGCAACTGTTGGTCCAAGTTTTTCTTTTCCCTGTGTGAATGTAAAACGTTGCCTTATGTTCCAGGCAATACAGCGTGTGTTTCCATGGCAACCTCTTCTTGTGTCTTGAACTTGTCAGCATCAAAATATGACATTTTAAACTCTGAAGTGTCTACACGTATCGCTCCTTCTTTCGCCACGAGCCAGACTTGCCAAAACCTGGGCTCCTGCAGCTAGCTGAAGCTAGGGCGAGGTGCTGGAGTCAGCTATCCTTCATACAGCCTGCCTGCTGACAAAGGAGGTAGGAAGTCTTTCCCTCAACTCAAAATAAATCAAGCAACGGGGCACAGATCCCCACTCCAGCTCAAAGGCTGCTTCACCCAATGCCCAACTCAGTCTGTTTTTTTCTTAGGGCTGTATGAAAACAGCCTGTTCCTCTGTCTGATGTTCTGCACTCTGTGTTTTTGGGCTGTCTCCTTGACTTTTCTCATGTGCACCTGCTTCTCAATCCATACCATTGTCAGCAGCCTTGTTGCTGACCAGGGATGCTCAGAGCCCTGTTCAGGACCATGGTGGACACCAGATCTCCCTGTGCTGCTGCCTTGCTTCTTACCTTAAAACCCGTGACTGATGAACCCCTTTCAGGTTAAGTACAGTCTAATCCAACAGACAACGCTTTTGCCAAGCGCTTATGAAATAAAAGAATGAGGAAGGGGAATGGAAAAGACCTAGTCAGCGTGGAGGGAATTCAAGGGACGGTATTACAGTAAAGTGGAATTAATTTGCTTGGCCAGAATTAATTGTAAAACTTTCTCTTGTAGGTAGGAGGGAGCACTAATATAATTCCACGAGATGTGCTTTTACTGTCTTTCTTTTTCTGTAACGTGGTTTGGCTGCTGAATTGAACTTCTAAAATATATATTTGCAGTTATAGGCAAGCTGCCAAAAATGTGACTAATAAAAAAATGCCTATTGATCGCTTTTATAAATCCATCTTAACATTGCTCTTTGGAAGATACTAATCAATTCTCACTTATTGTAGCATTTATACAGACACCTTCCTGAAGGATAGCTCTATTTGTTCCAAACAGAAGAGGCATTAATTCTGCTCTTGGATTTTGGCTCTCAGTGTGTATTTGGATTTACCTTTCATGAGATAGGAGATACCTGACTTACCCAGCAGTACTTGTCATGGCCTTAAACCCTTACTCTAATGGTGTAACTAAACATAAAACCATAACTTTAACGTAAAACCAAGTTAACTGCTAATTTTGTCTTGCTCCATGACTTTATGGCTTGGAGCAGGAAAAGCCTTACAGGAATGACCCTGTGCACTGCGACCGTGTGGGTATGGATTCTTTTCTCTGTATTTATTGAAAACAGATATTGCAGTGACATTTAGCTGCTAGGAATTGTACTCAAGCACACGACCCACACGTTTCTCCTTGCTGGCCTGCTGACCCACGATCGTGCACAACTCCAGTAGTGTTTGGTGAATCCTGTGTTGGCTGTAGCCCTCCGACCTTCATTAGGGGTGAGAGCATTTCTGGAATGGAACAAACCTTTCTGCATAAGACCTGGGAAGAGAAGCAACAGAGGTATGAACCTTGGTGATTTGTCATCTAGGGCTGGACTTGGACTCTCCTCCAAAAGCAGAACAGGTGCTGTTTGTGCTGTGGGGGTAACAATGCAACAAAAACCAGGTATAAAACTCTCCAGGCAAGCATCTGGCCATATATTACATGCCCAGCCCTATGTTTACATTCCTGGGTTAATATCTTTATCAGGAGAGATGAGAAGTAGATGCTTGAATTTCTCCTGGACTTTCTCAACAGCTAAATGGGTACAGTATGTTCTCGGGCCAGTGCTGGGATCCAGCTGGGATGTAGCCAGGGTGAAAATAATTTCATAGTTTTATTTTGCTAATCAGGAAATGAGATAGTTCATATAAAAAGCCTCCTTTAGGAAAAATAAAAGCTTTCTAGTCACTTTGCAGACATTAATTTTCAGATAATTAATTTGTGTTCTGCTACTGAACCAGCCAAACATTTAATACAAGTAATGCAAAGCTTTGTGCTTCCTGTGTTCCTTAAAACCAGTTTCAGACAAGAGAATGGACTTTTCTTCCTTTCAAAATACAGTTGTTTCTCTTGAAATTTTAGGTGTGTTAAAATGCACGTTGCTCTGTTTTGTTAGGTTTCTACATCTTTTGCTCACTGTGGTATAATCCAATAACACCACCTCCAAATCCTCTTTGCAGGACTAGGGGAAGTTCTGTTCTACTGCTGCTGGGGGAATTACGGCGACTCAGTATTCCCCTTTCTTTGCCCCGATTTGTAGCAAAAGTTGCCTGGGCTATGGCGTTGTCCTTACATGAACTCTTCCAAAGCATTTGCCCCTGCTTTGATCCATCTCAGTTCACTTCTGCCTCTTCTGCATATGGAGTCTCAAGCTAAGCAGAGCATTACCCACTACATCCACCACTTGGGAGCACAGGTGATCAGACTGCTCTTCAACCATGGGAATCAGCTGGTTGGGGAAGAAGTGGATGAAACCCGTCTCCGTTCCCCATTTGTAGGAGCTCAGTTAACGTGGCAGTGCTGTGCTGTCTCAGGAGAGGTTTGCCCAGCCGAGTTCAACAATAAGATGCAGTTGCATTATTTTACTTGCATGAATGGCATTTCCATCAATTTTAAAATTGCTCAATTGGGCTGGTACAATTGAAAAATAACAGATGAAAGTAAATCTAAAGTAATAGTCTTTTTATCAAGCATCAGGTTCACGTTTCTCCTTTTTTATTTGTGGTTTCCTTGGCTCAATGCGACATTTTATTTTTTTTTTGAGCATGCTATTAGAATAATTGCACATTAAGAGAGATCGAGCAGGTCCTAAGAGAGCCTAAAAGCTACAATTCAGCAATGTTGGGTATTCCAAAACTGCTGTATTTCCTACTTTTAATCTTATGCATAGTTACCTTACCCAGTGTGCATTGCTTTTTTCTTTGGAAAAGAAGTCAAAGATTAAAAAAAATCTTCTTAGTTGTTGGATTAAGATTTATGGAAACTACTGGAAGACAGGTTTCCTGGAGTAGTCTGTGTATATGATAGTTTCCCTATACTTGTAACATTATATTGTATATTCAAGCTATTCCAAGTACGACCTTTTGCAAAAGACAGTTGATCTTTTATGAAACTCACAGAAACTGAAGATAAGTATTGATTAAATGAAATTTGGACTGAATTGTTTAAATTATTGTACATTTAAAATCCCTCAACTGCTTTAAAAATGGAATAAGTTGGCAAATGGTGCTAATGCATCTCCAGAGCATATGGGAGAAACGGGTAAAAAAAAAAAAAAGTAAATCTTCCTTACTTTCAGTACTTACAGGGAGCTTAATATCATTAGGGAAGGAAAATGTAAAACATGTGATAGCAGATGCCAGACTAACCACAACACTCGAGCTCTCACGAGAAGCCCCCTTTTCAAGCTCTACGTAGCCTTGGCCAAGACATTCTTTTTGGACCGTCAGTTCCTCATTCCTGGTCTTAAGCCAGAGGTAAATTCTCATGTATGTGGAAACTTTCAGCAAAACCCATTCAATCATTTCTTGAATTTTCTCTCTCATCGGTGCTCCTGCCACTCCACCAGGGCTGTGTGTGCGATACACCAGCTGGCAGAGGCCTGCAGGTTGTTGGCTTGTTCTCCAGCAGTCACGGTGATCGACTGAAGTTGGTTTAGTTTAAATTGTGAGCAGTGAATATTCTTGCACGTGTTCACAAAAGCATTGCTGCGGTCCTTTGCCCTTTATTTTTTATATCACCGAGAGCAGTTACGACCCTGACGTTTGATCTCTTGTATGACACAAACCACAAAACCTCCTGTAGTCAGTGCCTGTCTCCAGCCTAATAAAGTGCCTGAGACTCAAAACAACCTTGTCAGAAAAACAAGGTTTTGAAACTTCCAGTGATACTAAAGGCTGCAGTGGATTTTCTGAACTACTCTGTGTCTGTTTGCCCTCTCTGCAGTCCCATTCCAGAGTACAAACTTTAATAGGGTTACGTGGGGAACTAAAAAAGGTACACAGCACCTGGTGGAAAGTAAAACTTCCACACGTGTAACCTGCCTGACTTGCTGTGAGTTTAAAGCATTCAGCTCTCCAGAGGGGCGGTTTTCACATCCCACTGACAGCCTCTTTTGATGTGTAAATACTTTGAATATGTAGCACTGGACAGCTGGCCTGTGTTTCTGCGCTGCGAGCTGTTGGCTCTCATCAGGCCCACGTTGGAGCCTCGGGGACGTGGAGGTGTGCTGGATGGCGCTGGCCATTCCTGGATAGTCTTCCAACCCCTTTCAGAAGGCTTTGGAGTTGTTTTAATGCTAGTCTGTTTATTTATTTATGTCTCTCCTGTGCAATAGCAGCGATGAGCATCAATATTCTAGCAAACAAGGAGATGTGGAGGAAGAACTTTGAAGTGGCCGGAACTCTGGCATCAGGCAACATGAACTGATCAGGCAACTGAAGAGCAGCTAGATTACATTTCTAGTGCTGTTTAAAGGTAATTTTCAGTTTCATTAAGACTGACTGGTTTGAGACACATTCACTTGTGTTAGTCTTCCTTGAGGTTAGACAGGCTGGAGATTTCTGAGATGTTTTCAGTTGCCTTTTGGGGAGGAGGGAGAAAGACTTTGCTGTTATTTTTCTATCATATGGGTGTTTGCTTGCTTGCTTCTCTGAGATCTTCCCTAGAGGTTCAAAGTGATCCTGTATTAGCAAAAGACATTGCTCCTGCTGTTGTGCCTTTTGGTCTTTTCCTTCCTTTGGCCTTCTCTTGGCCAGCTGCTGGCTTTATGTACCTGGGCAAGGTAACAGAATGGGTCAGTTTGGGATCCCTAACAGACTTAATTGTGCATGAAGCTGAATGTAATTGGTCAATTACTTGCTGCGGCTTATTTAATTTAACTCATTTGCCCCCGCTCTTAATGTTTTGTAAGGTATTCACACACTGTGTTTTGCCTAATTGACTTAAGTTACCACTTCCTATTTCCAAAAGGAAAAATGTCAAACTATGGAATTTCAAATTAGGACTATAGGCACATTGACATTTTCGCCTCATATTGATTACAACGTGTAGTAGTGGAAAAACTGATGATAAAACTACACAATAAAATGCTATCGGTATTTTATGGAAGATCAAAAGCTAAATGGAGTTGGCGGGAGACAAATCTGGCCCCTAAAGCAGTTCTATCTCATGGCAAGTCTCTGCTGTAATCTAGGTTTCCATTCAATGGATTGAGAGTTGCAGATAGAGAACAATCTCTTCCTTAATGTAATAATTTAGGCATTCATGTTTTAGAGTCACAGAGCCAGACTTCTCAAGTGCTGAAGAAACAAAGGCTTTATTTCGGTTTGGTTGGATATTTTAGGGGTTTTCATTTAAAAAAAAAGGAAAAAAAAAGGAGAGCCTTTTAATCTAAAGAAATAAATGCTGTGTTTCTGCTTGTTGAATGCAGAGAGACAAATTTACTGTTACTTTTTCTTTGTTTGTTTAGTTTGGGGGATTTTTTTTTCCTTTGAAGCGCTTGTCTGCTAAAGGCTGTAATTGGCTCTGGAGAAGGCCTTTTACTTGTGTTTCCCAGTCATGGATGTCTGCACTTATCTCATTCTTGGCATCCTCCCATTTCAAAGTAAGACGTGGCAGTAAAGTATTCTGAGGCTGTGCCAAAGAGCAGATTGTTGCAGGAAAAAAAAGTGTTTCTTATATGTTATGCTGAACTCGTAAGCTTCTCAGGAATTGGACTAACTCGTTTTCCCTATACCATTGCAGGAGAAGGTAGCTACCACCCAAATAACAAGTTGCTTAGCAGTACCTCCAAGTGCAGCAGATACATTTGGGTGAAGAATAACTCAGGTCTGTACCTCTTTACCTGTCCTGTTCCCAGAAGGGAGCTCTCCCAACACAGACAGGCCAGCCACAGGCTGCAGCCTTCTGCTGAGACTCGGAGGCTGCTGCTGGTGCGAGGAAAGCAGTCACCCTGCAAGGAGCCCTGGGCCAGCAAGGTGGCTTCTTTTTTCCTTGATTTTCCTTTGGTGAAGGTATATTTATGAGGTGGAAGTGAAAACGAATGAGGGTAAAAGAGGTGGAAAAGCTGCCGATTTTAAACATGTGGTAAGTGTAGGGCGGTCGTCCTTAGCTGCAGGATTTTGCAGGAAAAGAATCGTCTGCTAGCGTCCTGTGGGATGGATTAGGGTGTTGATTAATGAAGTTAGGAGTTACTATTCTAATAACGTGCCTGGAGTTGAGAATATGGAGTGCAGTCACAAGGAGAGGGCAGAGGGAGGAACTTCTCAAGTTAAACGTCCTGTGTGTTGATTCATAAACCCACATGCATTAATCTGTGGGAATTGACTTTGGAAATGGAAAGGACTGAAGCATATTTTGTTAAAGTGTTAAAGCTGGGTTGGAACAGGAGAAAGTGGTGGAAAGTCTGTAGCTGGCAAAGGGAGATTGCTTTTGTTCGGTGTCACGTGGACTGACAGCAGAGCTGGGTGTAATGTTGCAAGAGGGAAAAGTGGGACCATCTCCTCAGAATTAAACCGCGAGATGAAGGAGGAACAGTATTTTTAATCGTATTTCATCTGAGGCGTATGTTCATTGTCTCAAGAGAGATTTTGAGATTTTGTCCATATTTGAACTGGAACAAGAAAACAGTTTTTCTGAAGCTTTGCATCTGACTTGCATCCAGAGCAGATTTGGATGGGCGCCCCACCTGAATTGTTAAGGACTTGGAAGCCGTGTTCTAGTCTTGGCCTCTTTCTGGTTAAAATACATTCTGCAGTGGAGCAAAAGTGTTTTTAAAAAACTCCTGGAACAGATAGGAGGAGGTTATAATCTCCAGAGATGAGATTAAGAGATGACTTTGAACGTCCTTTAAGCTGATCTACCTCGGTAGGCAGATTAGTAAGGCTTGATTGTGGGGCAGGTTTATTTAAGCTCACGGTAGTGTGGGGTAGCGAGAAAACCCAACAGCAGTGCAGGGACACATTTGAGGATGAACACAGCCTTTGAACACAGCCTGGTTGATGTGACAAGTCCAACAGTGCACCCACTAGACAAAATGGTTCTCCCTGTGATTATGTGCTTCCTGTTCTGTTAATTAGGACATTGCTGCTCTTCCATATTTCGTTTCTAGAAGTAATTTCTTAATGAGTCAGCTGAAGTTTTTGCAGACATGGGAAGAAATTTGGTGAACTGGCTAACGCTTTCCTCTGATATCTGTTTTGGTATCAGTTATGATTCAGCTTCCGATTAAGTGGGTCAGGGTGTGCTAGCGAGTCTGCAGTTCATGGCTAAATACTACATAGAGAGATGGCATAAGGCTAAATTCAAGTTTATCCAAAGTAATTAGGACATAAAATTATTTAGTTTGCCTTTCAGGAAGTAGACTGACTTGTTGCTGAAATGATGCCAGCCGTAGTTCGGTTCTCTCTGTAGTTCCAGGCAGAAGAAAGCCTTCTACAGCAGATTGTACTCTTTAATAAGGTTGCATTATGCAACAGTGTGTAAACCATGATGAGGAAAGAGTGGAGCAGAACTCCTTGAAATAATATAGACTTCAAATGCAAAAGAGAGACAAGCCTGCAATTAAATGGGCAAGTTACAAATATCTCATGGACAACAGGCTCTGATGTTAAAGAACAGTGTCTAAGAAGTTGTTTTCATGGAAGAAAAGCAGACAAGTCCTATACTATTGAGTTTACTTACACTGAGTTATTCATGTCCATGTTTTATAGCATAATTTGTAAGTATTTAGTATTTCTAATGGTATCACAGGTAACATTCGTTCTTGTCTTACTGACTTTCCTGGACAAGTGGAAAATAGTCTCTTTTAAGCTTTCTGAGACTGCATTAAGTTTGACCAGGCTGTGTAGGATGTGCTTGGAATGTAGCAATTTGTAGTCTAAGGAAAGATCATTTTTTCAAATTAAGTTATGAAATTTGGCAGCATTTCTTAATGCAAAATGTATGCTGAGTTGGATCTAGAACAAAAAATTTACTTTTAATTTGAAAAAAAAAAACCACCGCATTTATCAGAGGGGCTTTATACATCTGGTCATCATCAGAAGTGATCAGAAAATTGTATCTAAAAAGCAAAAGTTATGCTAAGTTCAGAGACTGCATTGTCATCTTCCTTTTTGTCTTTTTGTGCTGACTGGAATTTTGCAGGATCAACTGTATGCATTATTCTTGCTCTTAATAATAGTATTTATCTTTGGCTCTAGTTCTTCCAGAGTGATAGAGCTCTTCCCTCCCTCATCCAGGATGAAAAGTGGAATTTAAATCTATGTATCTGTAAGATTGCTCAGCGCCGAGTTCCTGCCCTTCTCTCTTTTACTTGTGACTCTTCAGGCCTTGCTCTCTGATGGCAAGTGAGGATGCCCACTGCTGCCTCCGGCTCTGGATAAGGTCCAAAACCAAGACAGTGAATGACTTAGGTACCGAGATAGAGGTTTTCTGTATATGAAGAGGTTTCATCTGTACGATACCTCTATTTTATGCATCTTGGAAGCTGCCTTTTAAAACCATGGCCATTCATGCCCAATTATATTTTGCCTTAAAAGCTAAGGAGCC